CCGGGCGCTCCCGCCGCTGCGCGTGGTGCAGTTGAGGCGGGGCGCGGGGCGGGGGGAAGCTGTCGCGCACCTGCAGCAGGAATTTGACCAGCTCTGACCGCTCCTTGGGGGGTGTCAGGCGGTTGAGGCCGTGCTGCTCACGCAGCTGCTTGACCTGAGGAGCCGGGCAAGGGGAAGAGAAATGTGTGCATGTGTGGGTGGTAAGTGTGTGTGTATGTGTTTGTGTGTGTGTGTGTGTGTGTATGTGTGTGTGTGTGTGTGTGTGTGTGTGTGTGCGTGTGCGCGCGCGCACGCGCGTGTGCGTGCACGCGCTGGATCGCAGGGCAGAGAGCTTGCGCCTGATTGCGGATGCGCGGACACATGCACAAGTTGTGATTGGAGGGCCGGCTGGGGCGGCTTTGGGCCGAAAGGGACCTCAACGCCGGGTCAGGGGCCGGCGAGGCGCCAGCGGCGCCGCCGGGATTGCTTTGCGGCTGCGTCCGCGCTGCGCGACCGCGCCGGCTCCGCAGCGCCCCAGACCGCGCATGCGAGCGCATGGAGCCCCTGCGCCCACTGCGCGGGAGGCCCCGCGGGGCGCATGCGCTCGCCTGCTCTGTTGTGAGGCCCTTGCTGCCAGAGATATGCGCCCAGTCGACCACAGTGCCAAACTTTTCGGCAACCTCCTTGGGGGACAGCATATGCTCGTCCACCTCGTAGCTGCCGCGCTCGCCAACGTGCGCTGCGGGGCGCGCGGGGGCGGAGGGGCTCAGGGGACAGGGGCATGAGGGGCCTTCCGCTGCAGGGGCAGCAGCGGGATCGGCGCACAGTCGCGCAGACCTTGCGGCGTGGCGCCATCGGTCCCGTTCGCCTCGACATCCGGCTTCTCTTTCGATTTTTTAGACCCTATTGCCATCTCTGAGGCCGCCAACGGCGCGGTCAGGTCGCCCTGTCGGCCAATATGACAGCCACGCGGTCAGATCAGAGCGTTAGAACGGTAGGCGGGTCTCGCGCGATTCGTAAAGAAATTCAGAGCCCGGATCCGGTGCAGTCATACGCCAGGGTTGTTTGGCCGCAACCCGGGCCCAAATCCTTGAATTACTGTATGACTCAAGGAATTGCAACACTCGGACTGCGCCCGCAGCCAAAAAAATTGTTGATTATGATCACAAGCATCGATGCCCACTCTACAGCTGCCGCACGGCCGCGGTCAGACCCAGACCGACCCGCCGGGTGCTCTGCTGTCCCCGGGTGCCGGAGGAGCCTTCCTCACCTCTTCGTCATACTCCTCAATGAGCAGGCAGGAGGCGCGCGGCAATGCAGCGTCTTGTTGCAAATTTGCACCTGCCTATCGCACAATATCGCGGGCCTCCCATGCAAGGATCTTCGTGCACCATGTCAACCCAAGCACAGGGTCACTGACAGATGAGAAAGGCACGACTGCGCATTTCAAACTGCATTACTCTTGACCCCAGCAGGCGCCAAACCCGTTCCACCATAAGTGGCCGCACGGCAAGTAGCCTCTCCCCCTCTCCCACCCGCACGCGCCGCGTTGCTGTTATGAGCCCCGTCTTGCCCTGCGCCTATGCAGCTTCTCATGTGATCTCGTTGAAAATTGTGTTGGATGTTGGATACACTGCGGTCCGCACAACCATGACGATTGCGACAGTCAACGCGTGAATCAAGCAGGTGCTGTTGTTGTGCAATTGGACAGGGAACCAAAGCATTCATTCAGGCACTTGCGTCCCTCAACCCCCCAACACACAAGAGCTTGCGCACGGACACAAATACACAAGCTCGCACGCACACATGCACACACACATGTATTGCATTTTGGAGCTAATGCCTGTGACTCCGCATAGTCCAGCCAGAGCCTGTGCTATACAGCGAGCAGCGCCAGCGGCAACCCGCCCGAGCGCGCGGCGGGTGCGCTTGCTGCGCCCGCGGCGCCTTGCGCGACAGCAATGGTGCGTCTATTGTCATAGACGACCACTAATTCTGATGTATCTGCTTAAGGCATTACTTTACGTCAGTGAGTATACTGCCGCGAAGGTGGTTGTGGCCGAGGTGGCCGCGGACGCTGCAGTCCATGAGTCCAGCAACCGGGCAGCTGAAATATTCCACTAAAAAGGATTTTATTATCAAGATGTATGCATCTGTGCAGTTCCATGTCACCCACCAAGCGCAAGCCCGCTGCGTCCACGTCACCCGTGCGGGCGTCATGCTGCACTGCGTATGCAGTGCGCAGCCGCTGCAGCCGCTGCTCCAAGCCTCCGTCCACCGATGATATGGAAGGGTCACAAACGGTCGCCGGCGGGCGGCGTGCCGCAAGCGTGCGGGAGGGACGTAAGCATGCCGGCTACGGCGGTTAAGGACTTGCCAGCTCTTGGTTGCTTACTGATAGGTGGCCGCTCCAGTTGCGTGGCGGCTGCAGCTGGCGCTGGCGACGCGGGCAGGCTGAATTCCCGACTGGACTGCAAAAATGTTGCTGCTACATGGATGCATTGCGCCTGTAAATGCCAGCACAACGCACGCATGTGCCTCCGCGCGATACAGCGCCGCACCGCCCAGGCGTGCCACAAGCGCGGGCGGACCATTGCGGGACGCAGGATTACCGGCGCGTATCGGACTCATTTGAATTGCAACAGTGGGTGAAGGGAGGGAAGGACGCGTGGCGCGTCGTGACGAGGGTGAAGAAATTTGGCAGGAGGACTTTCTCGTCAGCCCCCCAGAAGGATGCACAGAGCAAGCACAGAGGAATGAACGACGGGCGACACACCTCCAAGCGCGCCGCGACCGCGCAGCAGGAACGCATGCACATGAAGAGCGGGGCAAGCACTGGCCACCCCTAAACACCAGCGCGGGCAACCGCAGGCACGCAACCGTCAGCCGCGAGCGGCGACGACAAAATAAAACCCCCCAACGCCGGCCCTCAGAACGAGCTGCCGGCCCCGTCGCCACCGCCGCCCCCGCCGCCCCCAAACGCGCCAAACCCCGAGGCGCACGCGACGACGAAATAAATCCCGTACCACACCCTTGCGAACACCGCGAACCACCATGGCAGCCGCCCCGTCGCGCGCCCGACGGCGATGATCGCGAGATTGTAGACTATCAGAAAGCCGCACCCGAGCCCAACCTCGGGGGTCAGCGACACGCGCAGCGCGCCCGCGCCGTGCCGTGCGAGGTAGCCCCCGAAACCCAGCGCCAAAGACATGAGCATATTAAAGAGCGGCGCCGCGAAGCAGGCCGTCGTGGCAATGCTCGCGTGGCCGGCCCGCGCCATCGCTCGGTTGCCGAAAAAGTCGCCGAGCGAGTTGCCCCACGCGAGCAGCGTCAGGCCGGTGACGCCCGCCGGGAAGCTGGCGAGAGCTGAGAGGAAGCTGAGGGCGCCGACGACCTCCCCGGCGATGGTGTCGATCCATGCGACGCCGACGCAAAATCCCAAAACGGATACAATGCCGGGCAGAGCCCTGCCGGCCGTGGCCGCAGCTGCAGACGGCGCGCCGCCGCCGCCGCCGCCGGCGCTGCTGCCGCCGCCGCGGAGCGCGCCGAACGGCGGCTCGCCGGGCGCGTCGCCGCGCGTGAGCCAC